TCCTCAGACATAGACGCTCACACCCAGCTGTTGGTAAAATTCCACGATATTATACAACAATATGGTATCATGCTTTCTGAGAAGAAGATGGCCATTGGAGAAACGAAAATTGATTTCCTCGGCATGCACATTTCAAAAGGGCAGTATCATCTCCAGCCTCACATTGCAACTCAGCTTGACGAATTTCCAGATGAAAATCTCTCTTTCAAGCAAATGCAGCAATTCCTTGGAATTGTCAATTACATAGCGGATTTCATTCATGATTTGGCAAAACCCAGATCAGTACTCTCAGCACAACTTAAGAAGAATGCTCCACCATGGGATCATAAATGCACTGAAGTGGTAAAAGAACTTAAGAGAATCTCAAAAACTCTTCCAGCATTGAAGATTCCATCTAAAGGTAAGAGAGTCTTACAAACTGATGCTAGTGATTATTACTAGGGAGCTGTTCTATTAGAAGAAGATGAAAAGGGCAAAAGAAGCATTTGTGGATATAAAAGTGGTGATAGTGAGAGACATTATCACTCAACATACAAAGAGATACTCGCAGTTAAACGGGGAATAGAAAAAATTGAGTTTCATCTGGTTGGTCAACATTTTCTCATAGAGATGGATATGTCCTCGTTTCCAAAGATGATCGCAGAAGGTCTTGCCACAAGCACAACTATTGAGATGGGCAAGCTGGTTTTCATAATGGAAGTTTGATGTAAAGCACATCAAAGGGAAAGATAACTTCCTTCCGGATTTTTTATCCAGAACTCAAAAACAAATTTCAACAATCATTCCAATAATCTACACTCTGAGCCCTGAACATCCAACAGAAGAATCTCTGAGAAGCATGATTGCAGCAATGCCACAAGGTCTACAGGAGAAAGTGCTAGACACTGTTTTGGTTTCCAGAGGAGTGGAAACTCTTCACGGGTTTCTAAGACTCTACATCTATAGGTATGGCCTAAACCTTGGTCCACTATTAGGAATACCCTACCATCCGACATATCCTTTCCTCACAACCCTTGAGATGAATCCAACTCACTACGAAAATTTTTCGAAAGAAGCCTATCTCCTATTTTGGTATTTGTCGGATCTTTACACCATTGGAGTATTATTTAACAAGTGTCGCATGTTCCAGTATTTGGCAAATTGTATCATCACAAGGAAGAAACCGCACTACAAGCAACTTTACAAGTGGTTCACTCTGTTCAGAGATGTGACGTGGTGGCAGGAGAATATTCGAGCTCAGCATGGATTTGAAGTCTTTGCCACGTTCAAGATAATCACTAGCCAAGCCCAGACAGAAGACGGAGTAATTATCCAGAAGACTTATGAGGCTCATATCCAGACAAGCTACAATGACAACACAATTAATAGAGACAATTTTCATGCAAGGATATGTGGTCTAGCAGCACTCAATTACCTCGAAGAATCTAAACTGGACCCTAGTTTTTTCTGTCCCTGTACATCAAGATGGCACAACACGAATATCTATCCGAAAGATTTTGTCGAAGAGATAAGACAAATCCTACTCGGCTTCCATGATCAATACGCGGGCCAAGATCTCATCCGATATATCGAGTAGAACGCAGAAAATATAGAGTCAAGAGATACATTCCAGGCCATAAGATCTACGTGACAGAATACAGTTCTGGCGACGAGGAAGACGATAAGGAGTAAGATGGGTCCCATCTCTTTTGAAGACATGGGGAATAAAGTAAAGTATATTACGTGTGTGCTTGTAAATTAAAAAATAAGAATACGTGTGAATGTAAGATAAGAATAACGTGTGAGAGTGTGTTAGGTGTTCTGTATTGAAGATTCCATCTAAAGGGTTGTGTTTGGGTATATGGCCCAAACACAACCCTTATTCCTATCTTACATTCACACGTAACACAACCCTCTCAAGGGATGGGAAGATCGACCCTTGAGAGGATGTCGGACACATGTAGCAACATCTTCGGGCTCAGGAGTTGTTGGAGCTGATTGATTTGAATATAAAACATAATATTCAAAAAAAATTCCAATGGGTTCACCAAGAAGGCCAACTTCTGGGTCTCCTGACTCATATCGTTCTTTGAGCTTCTGTTGAGATGACTTTTTCTTTTGTTTCCTTCGTTTTGGAGTATCATCTTCATCCGACTCATTCATCAAGCAGTTTGGACAGTCACAAACATCAAAGAAGTTGTGTCATGTGTCATCTTCGAATGAATAGATAGGGTCTCCAAGAGCATTGAAGGATTCGATTGGAACTCCCGGTAGGTACGGATTTTCTAGAGATGGAGGCTCTTCAGGTGGTGAGATCGTATTGATTTTCGTACAAAAGGCTGGAGGTCGAGAACTTGTACTGCCGTGTTGTTTGAACTCTATCTGGATGGCTCCATCTTTTCTTCTACTGATAGAGGAGTCTACCGATTGTATCGGAGTGTTGTTTTCATGAAGTTTTTCATAATTGGTTACCCATGACTCCGGAAATAGCTTGATCAGCTCATCTTTAGGGATTTTTCTTGGTATATGGATGCATGATGGACTGTGTTGTGACTCCAATTGTATGAGCAGTGCATCTTCTGTGTCACWTGGGAGACTCAAGTCCATTGCATGGTTTTGCACCCTATACGCCATTTGGTGGTGAAGAGTAGCGGCATATGTGTTCCCAACTTGAGGAGCGCCAGTGATTTGTAACTGGATTTGCATATTTTGATAGATCTGAGGATCATCAAGCGCTATGTTGAAGTTTGGAAAAAGGGTGACGAAGACTGTGCCCGCGTTTAAAGTGGTCTGGAGAGTGGCTATGCAATCATGCTGATACTCCTTGTATCTGGTGTCAAGGAGAGCGACTCTTGCTACCACTAGTAGACATTTTCTTCCGTGAAGAGTTAACGCCAATCTTATTGCTCCGTAATGGAGATGGGTGAAACCTTGGGATCTCRACTGATGGATCATCACCTCGTTCAGACGGAGAGGGATCATCTGCTCCATTTCAGTTGCTGGCACCAAATGTTGTTCCAACTGTGAAGCTAGAACAAGTTCCTTTGCTGTGTGCTTGTTAGGATTGAAGGCATGTTTTAAGACTTTTGGAAGGGTGGTATTTGGTTTCGTAAAGGCTTTGTAGGGATTGAGAAGAGATAGTTGGGTGATAGGAACTTTAGTATCATCACTTACATATTCTACTTCATATACATAATCTATTTTATTAGAGGTAGATCTTCTAAAAGAGGACTGACGTGGAATAAGAGAAGTATTTTCCATATTGAAAATAGAGACCAAGACAGAATACTTTAGCTCTTATCTATTCTGTCAGACTTAATAAACCACGAGTTTTTTCTTTTTTCTTTTAAGTGCTGAGAATATAAGCGAAAACATTCATGAGGTGTTTGCCACATAACCGAGACAATAACTTCATCATCTGGAGTCTCAAGGTTCCATGTGTTTTATAACCCCACGAACATCTTAACATATATCCTTTCTTTTCGTAGCTTAATGAATTTCTGATACGGAAGATCCAACTAAGTGGCAACCATAGAACATACTTTCCATAAAGCTTATGATAGAAGAAAACTCACAGACATCAAACCCTTAGAATGATAAGAGTTTCAAGTTTAGATTGCCCTGGCTCTGATACCAAAATTTACAGTCACATAGTGGGTACAACCACGTAGGAGGTTTTTAGCAGGATCAAATGGACAAAAGATAAATATTTATGAACAAGGATGTATAATCAAGGGGAAGCTTTATTGATCAGAACACTCAAAAGATTACAACAAAGACTCTACTATTTTTCTCTCACACTTGACTTGGTTAACAACGTCTTCCCAAGCCTCTATTTATATTACAACCTCTAAGGAATATTACACAGCATATTCCTTTAGATATTCTTTACCTAACTTACACGTAATACTTATGCCACACCTAACACACTCTCACACGTTATTCCTATCTTACATTCACACGTATTATTATTCTTTAATTTACAACCACACAGGTAATATACTTTACTTTATTGTTTGTCTCTGGTAAATGAGGTTGTAGCACCATAGATCAAAGGTTGGCGATGAAGTAGCTTGTACCCAGATTTCTAATATTGGATACAGATGTTTGGATATGGAATGTAAGGCTACAGCGTCGTTGCACCAGATATAGGTAGATCTCATTCTCAGGCTTGAGGTTTGTGTCGCTCTGTTACTGATTCTAGTGTGTATTTGATTCGTTGTGGGACGCACAATCAGGGTAGTACATAGTCATTGTTCTCTTTGTGGAATAGTAGGAAAGTCAAAACGAAATGTGAATCAGTTGGTTTTTGTATGATTTGAAGAAGAGGGATACTAATGTAAAAGAAAACGCCAATATGTTTTTTCATTTGGATGTTTGTCAAGAACCGATTATAATTACTTTTGTCACAAGCAAATCACAAAAACCCATAAACCCTAACTTCATCAAGGAAGAAGCATCGTGATCAATTACAAGCTTTGAGATTCCGTTTCTCTCACTTATCCTTGTCTCTTCTCATACAATAATAATACTCTCCTTTCTCAATGGGCAAATTACTTTCTTATTTCTTTATTAAAAAAGATTTCTAAGCTCGTAAAACAGAGAGCCTCGTGCTCCTCGTACCCAATCCCTCCCCTCTCTCTGTCCGCAGGCCCACAACCACTGAAAAAGCATTTTCCCGCCAAAAAACAAAAGCTGCTTCTTACCACTAAACCACTCTTCTCTATGTTCTGCACACAGACACTCCCAC